CCCTTCCTCAAATGGACCAAGTGGGTGAAATGGAATTTATGCGGGCAAATTCTTTGTCAAAGTCACACGAGTTTGCAAAAGGATCGGATTTTGTCCTGTGGTCCACCTTGGCCTTAGGAAACGTATTGTCCCTTGCATGTAAAGCCTTTGTTTGATTTTGGATAGATTCCAGACTTCAATTTGCGGCCTTGTGTTCTCGGCTGCACAGATTTTGCAGCGTTCTTCAGATTGGAATTCTGAGGTGGAGTCTCTCAAGCTTTTGATCCGCAGGCCAAAACGTTTCTTCTCAAGCCAGCTGCAAGCGGTTGGCAAATGCGTTGGAAATCCAGAAAGTTGCGTTTTGCAGGAGGCAGAAGTGGAGCGTGTCAGAGCCGCTTGTTTCACTTATTAACTTCTTTGATTGTTTGATATTGTTTATTTTCCTGCAGTTTTCCTTTCGTGCCTTCTGTGCTCTGATGTGGACAGATGTGCTAGTTTACTAAAGCTTTTGACATGTCGAAGTTTGCCAATTCGGATGAGAATCTGAGACTGTGCAAACGCAGCGTTCCGCTGCTGGTACCACTGCAACCACCGTCACCACATCGTGACTCTGCAGCAGAACTTTTGACCATAGAATAGCTTCAGTATGCTTCAGTTATATCTGAAAGTTTCCAAGGGAAGCACGTGGGCAACTGAAACCAACATTGCAGCAAGAAGATCAACATCAACGGAGCACAACCGAGCTTGGAATCCACAGCCATCAGCCCAGGTATCCTGCGCAACAGATCACAGAAGATCCGATGCAGGGTAAACAATGGCTGAGAAGACAAAAAGCACAAGACCTTCGCGAGGAGGCCGGCACCATCGGGCAGTATCGTGCAGTGCGGCAGTGCGAAGCACAACGGATGCGATTGTTATCGATGTTGTGCAGCTGCCATGTTCGAAGAATTTGTTTGAAGAATTGACACCCTGAAAACACAAGAAAGGAACCACCATCATGAAAAGGAAGAAACGTGTCCAGATGAAAGAAGCTTTTGGCTATTAAATCACGCTGTTGGAGATGGACATGTGACAGGATGTGAAAAGGCACTTTTTGAGAACTTTAAAGTTGGGATCAAGAAATATCAAGAACCAAGCTGCATGTTCATTTGTCACCAGCGTCATCATCTTATTCATCATCTGATTGTTCGTCCAGAAGTGCAGTTGTTCGGTTGTTCGTCAGGCTCCAAAACGCTTCTTGGTGGACAATCGCATGTTGAACGCCGCGACAGATGGGATCGGCTACCGCCCGGATCCAAGTTGCCAGGGTGTATCTTGCATTTTTACATATTTTTACAATATTTCACATCACAATCATCACAGGTTTCTGGTGGGTCTCTCTCTCTCTCTCTCTTTCTCTCTCTCTCTCTGACTCTTTGAATTTGCTGTGCTTCTCTGTGCTTCTTTGCTCAGGATTCTCCAAAGATCTTGAGGACCTTGACCTCAGCTGCACAGCCCCCTGGGGTTCTATCGTCGAGGCATCAGTGGACCAGCTTCGTGACATCTTGTGACGTAACCAACCTCTCTATGGCTCTATGGCTCTATGGCTCTATGTTTGATTACGTTTGTGTCCAAGCGATTTTGCCAGCAAGCATTTTGGGTGTCGGAAATCATGTGTCTTCAACGTGTCTTCAACGTGTTCTGAGAATGTGTTCTGACATGTTTCGTCTTTTTTTGTCCGTCCAGGGTGTTGATGAGGGCAGTTGGATCCGTGTGTCGGATGAGTTGTATTTGCCCAAAGAGTGCCTCGGCGCAGAGTTGGAGACTTCATGAATCTTCATGATTTCATCCACTTTCCTCAGCACCATTGAGCAGCATTGATATGTAAGACAATGTAAGACACGGAGGAAATGCATGTAGCACATATTAGCACAGAAGTAGATCATTGAATTTACTAAACCACATAGTTTGGACAGGTGAGGGTTTCATTTCTTTAGGCTTGGCGGTGTCCCTGTCTTGACATTGGAGGAGCCAAAGTTTCAAAAGTTTTAACTTTGAACACATTTTCAAATTTATCTATATGTATCTGATATGTATCTCAAATGTATTCGATATGTATCTCAATATATGACTTATATGTATATATCTGAATTGGTCTGAATTGGCTGGAGATGGCTGGAGGAAACAACTGGATTGTTTCGTGGATGACTGCTTTACCTCGCAGGACACACCTTTTGCTTTGTCTGGTCTCCAGGTCAACGAGGCCAGGGCAAGTGCTGAAGATTATCAAACGCTCATAAACACGATGAGCCGATACGATTCACTATGATTCACTGAAACAAATCACCAAATCACAAATCCCAAATTGTGCAAGAGATCCGAAGGATCCAATGAATTCTGATGGTTCTGGTCATTTTGATTCAACTGGCAGCTCATTGAGGCTTTCCCCATTGGCAGCGAGCTCATTGTCTTAGAGGCTTGGTCATCTCCGACGCTGCATCACGCTGTCTGCGTTGTTTTTGGATGCTGAAACTTCACCACTGTGAGGCGGCAATAATGAGAGCAGCTGAGGACACCAGTAACTCAGTACTGCCGTCTGGAGTGACTGGAAATAACAGCCTTCCGGTTTCTGGATGCGTCCATGATTTCTGAGTATACAGTATAATCACATATAATCACATATAATCAAGCCGGATATCTCAATGAATTTTTCAGCACGTTCAACAGGATGTTCAGCAAGATGTTCCCGAGGAGCTGCGAAGTGCAGCTTTGGCTCAACTGGAGAAGGTCGCCATCCAAGTCTTCCGAATCAGAGCTTTAGACATTTTGAAAGGTGTGACCATGATTAACCTAGATTAGCCTAGATTAGCCTAGATTTAGTTTGACTCACTTTCCGACGATTCCGACTATCGTCAGGACCGCCGACTTCAAGTGCTTGGCTACGGAACAGGCACCTTCCCATGAATCGGGATTCATATCAATTCATATCAATTCATATTCCAGAATTCAGAGAAAACTGAAAGCTCATATCATGTAACTGAGGGGTCGTCCAAGGTTTTGATTTTCATGTTTTGATTCCTTGGTTTCTGTTCATGAAGGCATCCGAAGCCGGCGCCTCTATGTACAAGACCCCATGCCTCAGACTCAATGAAGCATAGCTGGCTGACCTGGGCGTGAGAGGGCAACGCCTTGTCTTGTTTAGTGATGTTATCCATTGAACAGAAACTCAAAAGATGGGCCAATGGGGACTCTTTTGGGGGCAAAGAAATCAAAGAACAAGACCCAGCTGAAGGAGAATTCTGAGAATACCAACATCAGAGGAATTGTTCAATTGTTCATGTTGAACTCTTCCCCAGTGAGTAAAGACTTGCAGAGGATGCTGGAAATCGATTGGAAAAAGCAAAGTATGTTAGCATTGGTAAAAGCCAACCACAAGGAGTTACACATAGAGAAAAAATGGTTGTGACATGTTGTGACAGTGACTGTCATCAATTTAGGTCTGGACAAGATGGGTGGATCAGCTTCGCTTCCCAGACTCGGTCTTAGCTTTTCAAAGCCTTACAGTCCTTTTTGTGTTAACAGCACTACTTGCACCGAAAAACATCAAGCAGAAGAAAGGCTCAACTGCTTTGGTTTTCACATGGTCTTCCTGCAGCGCATTCAGCCGATGTGCAGTGTGAGGAACGGCAAGCTGCTAGTGGCCCCAACTGAAGCCACTGCTGATGAAGTTCAGAAGGCTCCTCAGAGGGGCACAAGATACAAGGATCTGTCCTAGTATCTATCCTAGTATCTATTCTAGTGATTCTAGTGATTCTAGTGATTCTAGTATCTACTAGGCAGCTTCAAGATCTCGGGTTGCGGACTCTGGGCCCATAGGGGACACCCTCATTTGTGACAGGTGGCGACAATGGCGACGAGAGTGGCGATGCCCATGGAGCAATTTCAGGATCCAACAGTTCGCCGGGGAGTGATGGGAATCAGCCCTCCTGCGTCATTTGCATCCCAAAATATCAGTGAGAAAGAATCAAAAGAATCTTAGAGCTTCGCAGTGCTGCTCTCCTCCCAACATCAGAACATATCGGAACATATCAGAACTATCCGGAACTTTGGAAGCTGAGGAGGAGCAAATGCAGCAACCAGAGGTGGAACAGGCTTACTTCGTGGACAACAGGGAGTTCAAGGCTACAAGCGCCAAAATGCTTGGGAGCGGTGCTAACTGAGATCCATGCGGATCCGTGCGGATCCATGGGTCATGCCATGGGTCATGTTGGGTCCGTTGGGTCCACTTTGTTTTGGTCGCCGCGAGGCCGACTCTGACGGCATCGGCTACCGCGCCTCGCAAGACTTGGACGACAAGGCCAGAGCCTGACCAAGTGGCGCTGCCAAGTGGCGCTGCCAAGTGGCGCTGCCAAGTGGCGCTGCCAAGTGGCGCTGCCAAGTCGTTGTCCAAAGTTTTCTCATTGTCTCATTTGTCTCATTTGTCTCATTTGTCTCCCCAAATGGATAACTTTCATCATTTTCTCCATCTGTCATCTTTCGTCATCTCTCGTCATCTTTCCTCATCGGAATTCTCCAGCATTCTGAGGCGGTGCCGGCGCGCACGGCGCTCTGGGGCTCCGTGGTCCATGGTGTCGATGTCGGCGATGGATGGTGCAGGCGGAGCTGGACGTGCTGCGATGTGGTGATGCTGTGATGCCCTGAGCTGAAGTGATGTTGGAAATTGTTGGAAATTGTTGGAAATTGTTGGAAATTGTTGGAAATTGTTGGAATGATTGATGTGAAGTGGTCAAGAAGTGCTCAAGAAGTGCTCAAGAAGTGCTCAAGAAGGTCAAGAGTCAAAGAGTCAACTTCTCAAAACTATTCAAAAGTCAATATTGAAGATGTTTGAAATCAAAGTTCGATCTGGAAGAATCTGCTTGGAGATAATATGAGAGAGTTTCTTTGCAGTTTGGTTTGAATTTATGGCACTCCGTGGCACAAGACCTACAAGACTCTTGGCCGCCAGGGTGGGTGCATATTATCTGCCAATGAGTCTGACTGGCTTGAGGGTGCTAACCCCAAAGGCGCCGAAGACTGCCATACCAAACGCATCCAAACGCTATGAAATGCGCAGATCATACAGAAGATCGGAAGATTGGAAGAGTAGATTGCTTAGGTCGCTTTGGTGTTCGGGTAAAATTCCACCCGCAATCCGTTTGCCTCTGTTGGCCACTTTTGGATCAAATTGTAGATCTCACTGGAGATCGTGCTACTATTGTCTTGCAGTACAGAGTGTATCCATAGACTCGCCCCCAAGATCAAGGCTTCTCTCACCAAGTCCACTTCAACTGAGCAGCCCCCGGAGGAAGAAGTGTCTGCATCGCTGTTGCCAAAGCTGGCCGGCTTTGCCAGAGGTGATTGGGAGTGCTTTGGAGAAATCAATTCATGTTCCTATGCCATCCTCTGAACGTCATAGAACAGCATGAACCACTATGATCTCAAAGTTAGCGCAAAGATTTAGAAGGAACTATGTCTTTTATGTCTTTTATGTCTTTTATGTCTTTTATGTCTTTTATGTCTTTTGGAAGGCACGGTGTGCAACCTTCACGGGAGTCACGACGGACACGACCGTGCCAAGGTACATCTGCGTGGATCCGCAGGGTGTGGTGACACACCTGGAGCCCGAGGAAGCAGAATCCAAACCCACCGGGCAGGTGCGGCGACTCGAAGCGGGTACACGTTGCAGTTGTACCATGTGAAAGTTATATCAATCATTATCAATCTATATCTTTTATTATCTTTTTATTGCTTTCAGTTGTGACATACTTTTTCTTCGTGCCGTGATTTGAATGCCATGTGAGCTGCATTTTAAAACACCAATTGATGAGAGAAAAACATAGAAAAACCACTTGGACAATCTTTAACGAGCCGTTTATCGTTGAGATTTTCCGCCGCAGCCAGTGCTGGCTCCACAGACAAGCACATGAAGCATGAAAAAGAAAACCAATAGCAAATTCAGCAACCTCAGCCATTTCCAAACATACAGCCACACAGCCAAGCCGGGATCAGTTTGTCCCTCCTCTCTTTTCTCGGTGTGTATATATATCCTGTTCTTGACCTGCGCCTGGGTGTCGAAACCGGGTAACTTGCAGTGGGGAAGCGAGGAGGCGTGGGAGCTGTCTGAGCAGAGCTGTGACATGATTGAAGTACCATTTTGCCAAAGATTTGTTTCAACAGATTTTAGTCGAAATCATGTTAACATAGGATTCGTCCTTGAATAAAGCAACTCCCTATGAGTAAAGTATGCCAACTTTAGGGCTGATTTTTGTTGAGGCGATATATTTTCATATGGCAATTTCTTTGGCGATAAAAATGTTTGACACCTTGCGGTACCGGTTATTTCACGGGATACCTTTAGAAAGAGGGCGTGGGGGAGATTATTAATCCCATCCCAACATTAAACACAAAAAATAATTGTGTTGTCTTGATCACTCTTTGGCCAGCAACGGGCAAATTTCACGAATGTTGACAAGCATTGACAGCATTCTGAGATTTTGGAAAAATGCGAGTTTCTGATTGTACAAATCTGCCCCGGGACACCTTGAGTGCGATCCTTGCTGTTCTCGAAAAATGACGTTGACATGTGCGAGTCCTCGCTTGACTTCCCCACAATCTAGTTTGTTGTGTTCCGACTACATGTGGATGCGATTGTCTTTTTGTGCAGCATGGTTGTAGATTTAATCTGCCAACTGGCGCTAGCTCCAGTGGCTGTTTGATGGTCCACTGCCCACACACAAAGCAAGTTTGCGCATATATGCGCATATAGGTTTGCCTGCTCTTTTCCACGCGTGTTTCTTTGAGAAACTTTACAATTTCGATATTGTCCAGTTTTCAACGCAAAAACCCGACGCAAGACATGAACCTGTGCGCGCGCGGCGCTTTTCCATTCAGGTTAGGCAATGGAACAAAATTGTTTTTCAGCCAGCCTACGAAACTTTGTTGCTCCGAAGTCAAGTCGCAGACTAGCAGTTTAAGATAAGTTAAGTTGTTTCTCCTGTTTTCCGGCCCGGAAAAGCTTGTTGAGTCACGACAAAACCTCTCAAGAAAATTGCATGTCAGCACAGATTGCAACGCATGAAAACGTTAGGTATCGGCAAAAAACTACGAGTAATGAATAGCTGAATTTGTTGTACCTGGTTGTATTTTGGATTATTTTGGCATGGACTGCGCAGCACGGAATCCACAGCGCAGCGATCTGATTTGTCCCCGACGCGTTTGAATTCGCAATCTGTAGGGTTTGCACCTTTTTGGCCCTAACCATTAAAAACCTGAAAAAAACATAAGCACCCATAGTCACCAGGAATCACCCGTAAAACCCTGCGAACCCGTAACCTGTTTAACCTCGCCTTTGAAAACCAGATTGAAGTGATTCATTCTACGGCTGCATGGCTGCGAGCTCTTGCACTGCCACTTGTGCAGGTCAATGGACCTGCCTGGAGCAGTTGTAGACGAGGAGGTGATGGTGATGCAGCTGATGCAGTCTTGAAGTGACAGTGACAATGTGTCGAACGACATATCGGCGTCATATCGGACCATGATGCCATGTGAATCTGCGCAAATGGTGACGCTGTTGGTGCAGTTATGGCAGTTATGACACATCATGACACTTCTATTTCTGCGACGTTTGTGGACAAGTAAGTGGGAGACGTCATGGGGTGCATGTTGCATGTTCTGCGCGAGGAACCAAAGCCGGAGTCCATCAAAAGAAAAAAGTCAACTTCATTAGCAGATTCTAGAGGGTTTCATGGCTTTATGATAGCTTTCTGGCTTCTGTGACAGTGCTTCTTGTGATTCGCTGTTGAACTTACATGATTTTACCAAGAGGTGCCGCCGCCAAACAAATATTCATTTCTTTCTCTGCCCACGCCTTCCAGATGCACTGGATCCACTGGATACGATTGGAATATGTTTGAATTTCTGTTGGAATCACTTGGCGCTCGAGTCGAGCTGAGTTGAGCTGAGTTGAAGCTGTGGTTTGGTTTGTCGACTTGCGGCATTTGCTCTCGAGGTTAGGATTAACGTCGCTTCCGACGGGAGCCATCCGAAGACAGTCTCGGAGTTCCGACCCAAAAACCTCGCCCAAAGCAACAAAGGGCCGGACTCTCAGTCTCAGCATCTCTCAGCCCTAATCTGTTCATTATGATATACGATGATATACGGATATACTATCCTGAAAGATTTGATCCGGCAGAAATGTATGAAAGGCTTCCGGAGAATAGACGAACAAAGATCAAAAAGAAAAGAACCCCTTGATCATCAGCTTGGAACAGTTGCAAGAACTCCCAACCCAGGGACACTTCCAAGTGGTTAGAGCCACAGAGTTTGTGACCTTTATTTTGTCTATATCATGCCCTGTCCCCACCTGAATTTCGTTCCAGTACCTACACTATCTACACTACTCATCACTGGTCACTACATAATATAATAATATACTTATATATACTTATAATATAATTACATAATTACAAAATATTATATACTCAATAATTATACATAATTATATAATATATAGGTCTATATACTCATACCGTCGGACAGTATCTATGAAATTTGAGGGCCAGAGGGCCATGGAAGGCGATCCGATCCCATTCTGAGACTCGCCAGACTCGCCTTAGATTACGCCAAGACCAAGGCCCTCAGTACACAGTCCGTCTTTGGGAATATGGATTGACCGGCTGGTTAGAGAACTGCCCTCAGCTTGCCAGCCAGACTGGCCTTCATTAGCATTAGAATCATTAGAATCATTAGAATCATTAGATCAATGAAGTCATGAAAACTACATTCAACTATCATGAACTGCCACCTTGGCTAAGGAAACATCACTTTTGCGCTGGACTTGAAGTAGCTGCCATCTCAGATTTGCACCAAGAGGTCTTCACAACTGGAACCAGTTCTCTCCCTGTTGATGGAGTGAAAATGAGTGAAACAAAGTATAGATTTGGGAGTGGTCACTTGCCAGGTGAGAAATAAGTAGAGATTTGTTTGCTAATGACCCCCTGTGGCTGCTCACTGGGAACTTATTTGTGACTGAACTGACTGAACTGACTGAACTATCTAAATTTGTTCCTTTCTCCGCTCTTCATCGTTCGCCCATTCTACTGAGTCGCTGAGGATCTTAAAGTCGGTTTGAACTCCTGCGCGGATGTGTTTTAGTCTCAGAAACCACTGTAGTATACTGTTTGACGGCAATATTTTGCGGAAGACGTCTCAGATTTCAACATTTTCTCATCTTCTTTTCGATTTTGAAAGATTTGAAAGCCACATTGATTTTTGTTTCGATTCATGCTGCATCAACCAAGGGTGCATAGCACAGGGGAGGAGATGCAAAAG